TCTCTCTCTCTCACCCCAACTGGTCGAGACAGACGACCACCCACCTAGAGCCGGAGGATCTGTCCTAGGTTTCTGCCTTTTAACAGGCAGTTTTCCTTGCCCTTGTCGCCAAGTGCTTCTCATGGTGGTACTGTTGGGTCTCTGTAATTAATGTTAAAGAGTTCGGTCTAGACCTGCTCTATTTGAAAAGTGTCCTGAGATAACTTCTGTTATGAATTGGCGCTATACAAATAAAATTGAATTGAATTGAATTGAATATTTAGGAATAACCATCAGATCGCCAGTTTCTAAAATTTTTGATCTTAATGATCCTACCCTCCTAAGAACGATTCGTGAAGACATCAAAAGATGGACGACTCTCCCACTGTCACTATGGGGCAGAGCAGAGATAATAAAGACTAATATTCTACTGAGATTAACCTACATCATTGCTGCCCTCCCAATGCAATTTCCTCAGGGCTGGTTTAAAGTGATTGAGGCTTTATTCACCAGCTTGTTATGGAAAGATAAGAAACCAAAAATAAACCGTAAAAAGCTCTCCAAATTGAGATCCCAAGGTGGGTTAGGTGTCCCAGATGTATTTCTGTATTATCTTTCATACAATGCGAGATTTCCACTCTCTTGGGGCTACAATGATATCTCAACCAGAGGTACTTGGGATTGGCTTGAGAGGGAATTAATTATGGAAAACAACAGGTCCATTTCTTTACCTTCACTATGGTATTGCCCGAAATTTCCATCTAAATTAGAGAATCCAATCATTAAATTTACATGCGACATTGTGAAAAAGATACATAGTAATTTAGGCACCAGTGGAATTTCCCTCCCCTCGTGTCCCCTATGGAACAATCCTTTATTATCAACAGGTGGGAACCCATTATCTGATAAAGCATGGCAGAATCTGAATATACATAGGCTCAGCCAAGTGCTGAGGGATGGTTCAATGCTTCCACTAACTGCGCTCAAGGCAAATTTTGGACTGAGTAGCAGCTCTTTTTTAACATACCTACAACTTAAAGCCAATTTAAACAGATTGTCAATGCCGGGCAGTGCCATCGGTTGCCACAAGGAGTTGGATGAGAAGTTGGAGGCTATCACCCATGGGAGAGGAGTGGTATCCAAACTTTATAGGCTTTTATGCCTTTCCTCCCCCAACTGCAATACCTCGACTCAATTGCAGTGGCAGCAAGATCTGGGAATTAATTTGTCATCTTCTGAATGGGATAGCTTGTGGAGGAACTCAATTAATATGAGCAAATGCGTAAGATATAGAGTAATACAGATGAAGATAATGCATAGGGCATATCTAACTCCGGTCAGACTAAAAAAGATGGACCAGAGGCTCAATGTTGGCATGGATGTGGAGAAGAGGGAACGCTCCTCCATATGCTATGGCACTGCCCAGTCATTGAGTCCCTATGGAGAGAGGTGGCACATTTCCTGTCAGGGATCCTCAAAGTTGACCTTCAGCTTTCCCCTATAACATGCCTGCTCGGGGCCCGTGCTGAGAATATCCAAAGCAATAAACACCAAAGAGTGGTATCCCTTGCATGCCTTTCAACAAAGCGTATGATTTTAATGAATTGGAAGGTGAGGAAACCCTCCTGCTTCTCCAGAGATAGAATGGCTGGAGGAATTCCTTTTTCTCATAAGCATGGAAAGAGCCACCTCCATCCTTAGGGAGTTAGATGAGGATACAAGCGAGCTCTGGGTCAGCATAAGATCCTTCCTCGGTGTACAAGCACACAGATACTTTTGTCCTGTTTAATTTTTTCTGTGCAGTATGCAGAAGGTTACGTCGTTCTATACTCCAAATTACTTGCCTATGCACTGCGACCCCCCCCCAAAGTTTGTTTGTTTTGTTTTGTTGGTTTGTCATGTTTTGTTTGTTTGTGATACTTTTGTCGCTGTCACGTGTTATTGTTGTAATGGTAATAATTACTTTATTGTAAACCCATTGTGTAAAAGCCTAGCAGAAATAAAGAGAAAAGGAAAAAGAAAAAAAAAAGCATTATTTTAGGCCACCCTCTAGATCTGCCCCTGCATATACACACACTGACATGAGTATTAATTCCGTGCTGGTGTCTCCTGTGCACAACAGTGGAGAGATCGGATTCCTCTGGCACATTTTAATTACCAACACAATCCACAGAGAAATTATTATCAGTACTTGCACACACGCTTACACACACAACCTATAAAATCTCAAATGACACACGGGTAATGAACCATAAGTAGCACTCTCTGCTCCAGCTAGCACAAACACAGATCACAGCTTTTATTAACACAAACATTAAAAAGACAATGTGCAGATCTGGATGTTGTATAACAAAATTTCATTTGACAAATTCGGGCATTTTGGGACACACTCATAATAGTAGATAAAGTATGGACATTATCCAAGTAAAGTTTCTGCGTATTGACACAATCCGAGGTAACTTTTTCTTGTAAAGCTGCAGTAGGTAACTTTTGTCATATTTTCTGAAACTTTCACTGTACTCTGACAGTAGTGCATGAGACAGAAACTGTGATAATCTGGCTCCTCCTAGTGCTCCTAATAGTATTTGCAAGAATCCACCAGGCCTGGACAAAAACAACCAATCAGAGCAAAGAAAGACAATTGTTGAGTCTCATTCCTATGTCGTGAAATCTCAATCAGATATAAAAAAAACAATTATCAAAATGGTCAGTTTCTCTGGCTCCTCGTAGTGCTACTAATGGCATTTGTGTCTACCGGGCCTGCATGAAAACAACCAATAAGAGCCAAGAAAGATAGAAAGACGCTTTGGGCTGGTGGCTTGATGATAGTACATTGTTTAGTCTCGTTCCCAGCATTGATATTTGACGACCTGGGAGGGAGACTCAACGATTAACTATCTGATTGGTTGCTTTTGTTCGGGCCTGGCGGATTCATGCAAATGCCATTAGGAGCACTAGGAGGAGCCAGAGGAACCTGATTTGTTCACAGTTTAACTGTCTCATGTACTACTGTCAGGATAGAGTTAAAATTTCAGAAAATATGACAAAAAGTAATTTTTTATAAAACTTACCTACTGCAGCTCAGGCCAGATATAACTAACAGACATTTACATTATGTCCAGTGTGTGAACTATACTGTGGCTTTAAGGGGAGCATGAGTATGAAATAATATTTGAATTGAGTACAAGTAACTCAAGTATGTGTTAAGGTTACTTGGGTAAATTACGTTAATTGTACCAATTAAAGGTGCGGCTGTGGCTCAGTGGCAGAGTGGGTCATCAGAAGGTTGTTGGTTCGATCCCAGGCTCCTCCCACCAGGTGTCGAAGTATCCTTGAGCAAGATACTGAACCCCGAATGCTCCTGGTGCTGTGCATCAGTGTGTGAATGTGTATGAATTTGTTCATTTCTGTTTGATGGGCTTTGCCATCACTGAGCGAATGTGTAATGTAGTGTAAAAGTTTTTTGAGTGGTCGGAAGACAAGAAAGGCGCTATACAAGTACAGGTCCATTTACCATTTACATTTATAAGTTGATTAAACTTAAAACTAGTAAATATATTAATATACACTCATATGCAGCATTTCCTCAAACGTATTTAAATTGTGTTAATAGAACGTGTCAGAAGACCAAATTAACTGCAATTTCTTTATATAAAAATGTTACCTCTTAAGTTGAATTTATTCAGTTTTCTACATTTAACAAACCATTTCAATTAAAGTAAGCTAAGTTTATTATATTTTGCTGCCAAACTTCGATGGTGATGGCAACAATAGCATGCATGCCAGTTATTCAATCAATACTTAGTTTTACACATAATCCATGATTCTGAAGATACCAAAATGAAATAGCATATTATCAATTTTTCCAAAACTTCACAAATCATGTTATTTAGCAGAGCTCATGTCTTCTTATGAGGAGTCAAGCCCCCCTGGCTCCCCTGTAGTTCGCACCCTGACTTTGTGCCATCTTCTTCTTGCCGTCCTAACAGCATATTTAAATAAGATAAGTAACATAACTTAATCCTCCAAAAATATTGTAGTCATTCATTCCCAGGAAACCCAAATCAAATATGAAAAAACTAATTGGCTACTATTTTGATAATCAATTAAATAAATTGTTTTTTATTGTACGTCAGCTATATTGACAGGTAATTTAATTATTTGCTTTAGTGGAGTAGATTCAATTTAGGTGGAAACATTTGTATAAAGAAGATGCATTCAAGTTAGTCTGACTTTATTCAGATAAATTCTGTTAACACATTTTTAATAGGTTTGGAAAGATGCCGCATGTGAGTGTAATATACTTAGTAGTTTTGAGTATGATTAACTTAATTTGCCTTACCTTAACAAAAAAATAAGTTACTTGTACTATTTTTTTCATGCTTAAATTGTTGGAGTTAATAAATTTAAACATTCCCTTTAAAAGCTGTTAGTTATTTGAATAACAATCATGCTCGTCTGTCAATGTTTGCCACACATAACCTGACTTTGACATTCCATCTAAGTAAACTACTGTGGCTGAGGTGCTATAACAATGCCAATGACCCAAAAAAAGAAGTAGAAAAACATTTCTTCCATCAGGACTCATTTCCTCATAAAATGAACGGAAGTAAGCATGTTAGCTGATGACAATGACAATGACAATCTCACAGCAATGGACATACTGCTGTACATAGATATTTCAATCTTAAGCGTAATGAAGAGAACTCTATGAAACTCTTGACTCTTGAGTCAGACATGACTTCAGTGTATGAAACATAATTTGTACTGAATGACACACCTACAAAATTAAGACACTTTCAGCCTTCATTTGTGCATCCAGTGTTTAAAACCTACAAAGTACCTCTATATTGTACTTCCTCACATTAACAACAGCATTCAGGCTTTAAAAGTATAATGGTATTAATTAGTAACCCCTATTAATAATATAATCACCCATATAAATTCAACTCCATTACAAACACCAAGCTTATATATAAAATATAAACCAAATCATAGATGAACTCTATTCAGCCTCCTACCTCCATTCCCTCTCATGATAATCAACAGGTCCGGTGGCAAAATGAAAAAAATAGACAGAGGAGGTAAAATGGTGAAACAAAGATGGAGCGTCAAACAGAGGTATCCATGCTACGTCCTAAGCCTGTCTCCAAAGCCTCTTATAGTCCAGCACTGAGGCCGCACACCCGCACAATCACACACCCCATCAGACTGCAGTTAGTCTGGAGGGAGGGGAGTGCTCCCGGTCCACATAATCCACAGAGATAACTGCTCACTGTTACTGGCGCTTTGCTGCCTTCCACTGTAGGTAGACTGTACTGTTTGATCACCTGTGCCTCCGTCTTTCCACACACACACACACACACACACACACACACACACACACACAAAAAATGCATTTCTATTATACCTGTCGCTTTTTATTCAAACAGAGTTTCAAATGTGGGGAGAAAGAAAATATTCAATCTGTAATAAAATTACTTATCTGAATTGCGTGCCCTGTTACACAAAATGCGGAAAACCAGTGAGCCACGCTGAATAGATAACAACTATTTGAGAGGTAATGTGTGGAGGCATTTAGCTAACATTACAAGATTAGCCTTGCACATAGCATATCTTAGTACAGGAAGAGAGAAAGTTGAGCGAGGTTCTGACTGACAGGCGCAGGTCCATACTTTTTTGACTGGGGTGGTACAAGTTGGCCAGGGGGTGGCATGAAGCATGTCTGTCAACATTACAGTATCACAACACAACACAACTTAAAAGTCCTCAAAATGGTATCTATTCATTCTCTAGATACCCTCGGTCTCTAGTTAGTGTTGCATGCAGTTGTAATTATCCTAGAGGTCATCATTTTAGAGGTCAAGTTTCAAACAATGGTCTCACTACAATAAAGTTGCCTGGTGGATTCTTGCAAAAGCCATTAGGTGCTCTAGGAGGAGCTAGAGGAAACTGATTTTTTCACAGATTATCTGTCTTGTGTACTACTGCATATAGTGCAAGTTCAGCAGATATGACAAAAAGTCTTTATAAAAATGAAATACTGCAGCTTTAGAGTATGTTACAGGATTTACAAACATCATTTTACCTTTGCACTAATATCACATTGGCTCTACTGTAAAGGAAAAGGGACAGCCAATCTTACAATTTATTAATGAAAATGTATGTTAATTTTGCACATAATGAAACACTCTCTCCCTTCCAGTGCTCTTTTTTTTCAAGGACTTTTTCAGCACTGACACTATAAAGCAGTCTGTAAAACGATTGGTGGCGAGCTACTCCAACTCATTATTCTGCATGAACATCACAGAGCACTGAATACCAGAAGGTCCTGACAAGCAAAGCTGTTTGCTGAACAACAGAAAATGAATAGGACTATCCGACCGTGCTGCTGTGAGCTGTTGTCTATTCAGCTGATCGCTCATGATAAGTAGGAATAATAAGGTTTGGGAGGGAAGCCAGAGCATAAAATCCAATTAAAATCTTATTATGTTTAACTGACAGGCTGATGGATGGCCAGATGAAGTTAGAGCTTGGTTGCTGTCCTCGGTCTGACTGAGAGGAATTCTCTGGTACCCAGTTCACTGCAGAAGAAGATCTGTACGTTCATAAGGTTTTCCAGTTAATTTTATAGATTTTTCTTGTATTTTCTAAATACATGGAAATATTAATAAAATTCCAAAAATAGCCTGTGAATTTACATGTCTAATGTAAATTAACTTGAAAAATCTGTAACTGCAAATAATCATAAAATTACTGCTTATTTAAAGTACATTTCCTTTTTTTCACATAAAAAGCAGCAGGGTCCTCCTGCATTTATAGGTGATTTCATTGTTTTAAAGTTAAAAATCTGTTATTTTCTGTTATTTCACAGTATTTTTGGCGCCCCAGCTGCCGGAATATTACTGTTATTTTACAATTTACAGTGTGAGAGCTTTATAAGGCGTCATGGAAGTTGGGCTGAGGGAGGAGTGAATGGATCACTATCAGGTGATGATGGTATGACTAGAGGTGGGAGTGTCTTGAAAGTTGAACCAGGGCACTCTGCTAACAATGCACTATGGGAATGTTAAATCCCTCCTGTTTGTTTTTCTGTCCCTGCCTGCTTATGAATCAAACAAAGCAATGAAAATCTTCTTATTTCATTCCTATCAAATTCTCTATCTCGCCTTTTCATTTCTGTTTTCAAAGTGAGATCAGAGCAGGGAGCTGTAATATATTAATAAGCACCAGTCTCTGCCCTACCTACCGGGTCCTTTATCTTCACAGCAGAAACTTATTTGCTTTGGACTGGGGAGTCTTTCCTCCTTTGCAGTAAACAAAGGTGTTTGAAGTATCAAGGACAGGCCTCTTGTGTGGTTTTTACACATCTAAGGCTTAAATGAGGCTTACATGAGGCTTAAACTAACTGTCAATCATGCTCAAAGACACCTGCACACACTGCTAGGAGTAGTCATTACTGGATGGAAACCATGACTGTAGAATAATCCTTAGTACTGTAGATGGGCTGATTTGAGCAATGATGCAATTCCAAGAACCAGCTCTTTGAACATTCAGTTCAATACAATTCAGTTAAATTTTATTTGTATAGCGCCAATTCATAACAGAAGTTATCTCAGGACACTTTTCAAATGGAGCAGGTCTAGACCGAACTCCTTATAACATCTACAGAGACCCAACAGTACCATATTAAAGGCATACTATGCAGTTTTCCGGTTTTGTCAAACAGCTACCCCGAGAGTCGCTGCGGAGTACTTGTATTTAACGTGTACTGTCGTAAATACCACTCACCAGAGCCCTCTCTATATACGGCTCTGCGTCTCTGCACTCACAGCCTGATCCCCTCCCCCCTGTATACTGGTACATGTTCAGTAGGATGGAAGCGTCGGACATCGAACAGGCAAAGATAGACTCCGAAGATGTCTACTGACCAGGTAACGTCTGAGTGAATGCCTGCTAGTGTCTTCCATTGAGGCTGAATCTTATGTCGCTGAATGTGACGCGCGCCGTAAAGAATTTGTGATTCTCACGAGGTATGCAACGGCGTCCCTCTCCTGCTTTTCTATCGGGAGATTCGTCTAAGTTTGTTTACCATCAAAATGACTTTGAAGCTGTTATATTAAGGTAAAAATCTTGCATAGTGTGCCTTTAAAGTAGAGTATACGAAATTAAACTCTAGCAGCATTGTGCATTTGACCTCATTGACCCCTGCGCATGTTATGATGCTGATGTAACATACACTGTAAAACTGGATGAGTTAGTTCAACTCAAACTGTTTGAGAAAACCGATTGCCTTAAACAATTTAAGAATCAAGATATTTGATTGGAGTAGATGTAACTCAAGTATTTATTGTTAACGTGACTTGAGTAAATTAAGTTAATTGTACGAGTTCCATTTAGTTAAGTTACGGGCGGGGGGGATGTAGGTACCAGAGATTCTGTAACTCGGGCAGAAGAGTGCATAAATATTAGTGTGAAGGGCCTTGCATCACCAGTTTCTTTCTCTGGGAGGTCGGGGGGGAATACCATTACCTGATTGGTTTACAAGCGTTCGCTTCCTCGTGTTTTAATATTTTCTGGTATAACGAAGAGTTACCCAGGGGCTCTGTTGATATTGGCTTAGCTAACATTAGCTACAGCTTGATGAATTGTAAACGCAACGTTAGCCAGCTAAAGCTCCGGTGGAAAATTATTAGCTAACGCTACCGTAAACGTTAGCCTAACATTAGCTAGATTTGTTACTAAAGAGCAGCTAGCTTGTATAGCTAACAGTAAATCACAAAAAAGAAATAATAAAATGTATTAAAATCTGAATTACCTAACATTGTATTGGTTGTCATTCATGATGGAAGAGTAGACAAGTTAAACTACAGCATGTCCACCATCTCTTGTGGGGGTTATGCATTAAGCCACATTGTGCCTCATATACTGTAAATGTTAGACCCAGGGACAGGCTGGCTGACAATGGCTTGCATAATACTTAGTAAGGAGGCCATAATATTTTTGACTCATGGCTGAAGTTAAGTTTCTCCAGCTCTCCCCAGGTTGGCAAAAAATGCATTTCAAAATGAATCAGATTGATGCTTTAAAATATGGAATATTCAAAATTTTCTTCCGGGGGAGCATGCCCATAGAGGGGTAATATCCTTCTTACCTTTTTCACCCCTGACCCGTTTTCATGCCTGCTTAAGCCTACTCTTAAATGTGGAGAGGGTGTCTGCCTCCCTAACCACAACTGGAAGCTGGTTCCACAGGAGAGGAGCTTGGTCACTGAAGGCTCTGGCTCCTGTTCTACTTTTACTGATTATATCACGACGCTAGCCTCCTATGTTTTAATATTTTCTTTTTTAGAGGGGCAACACAGTCGAGTGTTGTTCGCAGTAACCTGCAGCACTATTAACAAGATGATCAATTTGGGAGGGACTAAGGTAATCAAAGGAGTATTTAAATACAGATTTTGCTGTATATATACATTTTGCTACAGCACTGTCAGATAGACATCTGGTAAATGATGGTCAGATAAAAAAGGATTACGGAGAAAGATTAAATGTTCAATTGAAATGCCATATGATAGAACGAGGTCAAGAGTGTGATTAAGCCTCCGCTCTTCTGATGCCAACCTCCTATCTCCACCACTGAGGACCAAGCATCGTCCACGGGGCGACAGAGCCTTCTCCATTGCTGCCCCCTCCCTCTGGAACTCTCTCCCCAAACAAATCCGAGACTGTACTGATCCATCCAATTTCAAATCACTGATCAAAACCCTTAAAAATGAGGTTCCTCTGGCTCCTCCTAGTGCTCCCAATGGCATTTGCAAGAATCTACCAGGTCTTAACAAGAATAACCAATCGAAAGATAGAAAAGACACTTTGGGTTGGTGGCTTGAAGATAGTCGAGTGTTAAGTCTCATTCACAGCATCAGTATTGGACGACCTGGGAATGAGACTTTAAAATGAACTTTCTTTCATGGCTCTGAGTGTTTTTTCCCCCAGTTCAGGTCTGGTGGATTCTTGTAAATACCATTAGGAGCACTAGGAGGAACCTGATTTCACAGATTATCTGACGTACTACTGTGATATGGTGAAAGTTTCAGCAAATATGACAAAAAGTTACTTTTATAAAAGTTACTTACTGCAGCTTTAGCTATAATCTCTAACTTGGTTATAACCTTTCATAAAAACAGGCTTTACATCATCTCCATCTGCTGCATATATGAACACTAGTGTTTTACACTGCCGGTTTCCATGAGTGCATGTGTCTCTGGTTTGGCAACCAGTGCTGTCACAATGCAGCATAACTTCCTCTCATT